GTGGGCGGTGCTGCGCCCGCCGCGGTGTTCGCCGGCTCCTCGCCCTTGAGCGCGGCGATCTCGGCGGTGAGCTTGGCGATCTTGTTGTCCTTCTGCTTGATCATGAGCGTGTTGCGCAGGTTCGCCTCGTTCTTGCCCGCCTCGAAGCGCGCCTTGGCGCTGACGTCGTGCTGCGTCTTGAGCTCCGCCTCGCGCGCAGAGACAGCGGCCGCAATCGCGTCCTGCACTGCCGCCTCCCGCTCGTCCTCCAGCGCCTTGAGTCGCTCCTGCACCGCTGCCTCGACGTCCCCGCTAGCACCGCTGGGGCCGAGATTCGACGACGCCGCGGCGTACTTGGCTTCGAGCGACGCCTGCAGCTGACGCAGCTCTTCGGCGTGCGCCGCCTTGAGATGCTCCACGGCCTCGCCTTGGGCACTCGCCGCCAGCTGTGCCTCGAGCTCGCCGATGCGCGTCTCGGCCGCCTGCAGTTGCAGCTCCAGCTCCGCCACGCGCTCGCGCAGAGCCGCCACGTCGGCGTCACCGCCACTGCGACCAGCATCGCCGGTGCTGCCAGCCAGCCGCTCCTGCACCGCCTTCTCGATGGCCTCGACGTTGTTCTCGGCGAACTCCTTCTTGAGCTCCGCAATCGCCTCGTCGCGCTGCTGCACCTCGGCCTGTGCGGCACGCATCTTCTTGAGGAAGTCGCGGCCGTTTTGCAGATGCTTGTCGCGCACCGAGGCGATCTGCTCCTTCTCCGCCTCGAGCTGCGCCTTGACCTCGTCAAATTGCCTCTGCGCCTCGGCCACCGCAGCCTCGATCGCCGCCTGCTGGCTCGCAGGAGCCACCGCCGCAGCAGCCTCGGCGTCTGCAGCGGCTGCATCGGGCGCAGTCTCGGAGGGAGCCGCCAGAGCCGCATCCGATGCATCGGTGGCCTCGACGGCCGGAGCAGCAGCGGCAGCCGGCGCCTGCGACTGCGCCTCTTCGAGCTGCTGCTTGAGCGCATCTCTTTCGATCGTGAGCTGCACCACGTTGGCCTCGTGCACCGCAATCGCCTCCTTGAACTTGGCCGCGTCCTCGTCCTTCTCCTTCTGCAGCGCGGCCATCTTCTCCTGCGCGTCGGCGACCGACTTGCGTTCCTGCGCGATGCGCGCGCGCACCTGCTCACGCAGCTTGTCAAAGTTCGACTTGGCCGTCGCCAGCTCTGCCTTGACCGCCTCGGTTGCCGCCTCGTTCTCCTGCAGCTTGGCCTGCGTCTCGTCGATCTTTTGCTGCGCCTCGGCGCGCTGTTGCTCCACCTTTTGCATTTCTTCGCTGATGCCGTGCGTCTGGAGCAACGACTGCGAACGCGCCTGCCAGCGCTTGCTGTCCTCGCGCAGCACCTTGACCTCGGCCTGCGACGCCTCGAGTTCGATCTGCGCCGTGCGCAGCTGCGCCCGCACGGGCTCGAGATCGGACGTGGCGGTGCGCAGCTCGGCCTCCAGCTGCGCGGCACGAGCTTCGGCACGCGAAGCCGTCTCCTGCAGCGTGCTGTGGCTTTCGCGCAGCTCGTTGAGCTGGTTGATCTTGTCGAGCAGCTCAGCGTGCTGCGTGGCGCTCGCCGTCGACGAGGCGCCCTTGGCGCGCTCGGCATCCAGCTCGGTGCGCGTCTCGGCGAGCGTCTTGTTGACGTGCTCGAGCGTCTTTTGCAGACGCGACGTTTCCTGCTTGGTCATCTCCATCTGCATTCCGACAAGGTCTTTGTCGCGCTGCAGACGCTGAACGAGCTCCTGCAGCTCCTCGACTCGACGCTTCATGAGGGAGTGCGCCAGCTCGGTCCCGGACACACTGGTGTCCTCCTTCTTGACAGCGACGGCCTGGGCTGCTTCACTTTCGGACGAGGGTGCAATCGCGGTTTCGCCATCGACAGGGGCCGCAGCTGCCTCGTTCGCGGTTTCTCCCTCGACAGCATCCGACGTGTTTGCACCGGCTTCCTCGGCTGCGGCAGGTGCAGCTTCTCCGGCAGGCTGTGTTGCTTGGGCCATCGAGCTCAACTCCATATCGACGTCGAAGGAGGGCAGGGGAGCAGCCGCGGCCTCACGGATCTGGCTCGCCTGTGCGTTGATCGTTTCGAGATGCGTGTGCAGGATCTGGTTCTGCGCAGTGAGGTCGTCCATCCTGCGCTGCAAGTCGGCCTTTTCGCGCTCGAGTGCCTGGCGCACGGCATCCCAACTCGCCTTCTCCCGTCCCCACTCGGCCTCGGCCAGATCCTTGGAGCTGCGCAGCGAGCCCACCTCTTGGCGTGCCTTGTTGAGCTGCTCGCGTGCCTCGGCGAGTTCGGTAGTGAGGTTGTCGACGTTTCTAGACACGGTCTCGAGCTTCTGCTGTGC